TCATCCTCCCCCAGAGGCCCCGGGCCCCTGGCCTCCACGGCCCACACATTCCCACAGCACTGAGGGAACTGCAGTGGCTTCCAGGGTCCGGGGAACAAGAGATCACTAGAGGTGTGCAAAGATCAGTTATGATGTGCCCAGCGCTGTAAGCTATAGACCCCAAACACTGTAACCCATAGTGACCCATACTGTAACCCACAGCGACCCAACACCGTGACCCATAGCATACCAACACCGTGACCCATGACACACCAACACTGTGACCCATGACACACCAACACTGTGACCCATGACACACCAACACTGTGACCTATAGCACACCAATACTAATTAACTCCATTACAAAAACTAGAGGCCACCACCTAAAAATTGGTGGAAAAAAAATTCCAGCACAAGGGGCGAAGGGGGTTCTTTACAGTAAGATCAGTTAGGGTCTGGAACTCACTGCCACAGGCGGCGATCTCAGCAAATAATGTGGAATTGTTCAAGAAACGATTTCTTAAGGGACCGTAATATACAGGGGTACAGGTACTCCTAGAATAAGATCCTAATAGGTTGGACTTGAGGGACTAATGTCTTTATTCAACCTCAAATACTATGTAACTATGTATGTAACTATGTAAATACTGTAATCCATAGCACACCAATACTGTAATCTATAGCAACCCAACACTGTAACCCATAGCAACCCAACACTGTAACCCCTAGCATCCAAACACTTTAACCCATAGCACATCAACACTGCAACCCAGTGTTTTTCACAACCGGGGTGCGGCCCGCAGTCATTTTGGTGTCACCCCCTTTGAAAAGTCACGCAATCGGTCATATACAGAGAGCCTGACAATGTCAGGAGAGAGGAGGGGACCCGGCAGCACACTTTATCCCGCCGGGTCAGCGTCCCCTCCTCTCTTCCGGCGGTCATCTTGGTGATGGACGGTCTACTACCAGTAATAATAATGATGATAATAATAATAATAACAACAACACATTGTAACAATACAAGATTAATAACAATAATAATACCACACTGGTGTTTTGTCGCACTGCCGCTGCTCACTCCAGATTGAGTTTCAATATTGATAATTAAATTGAATGTAACCCCCCTAACTGAATAACATTTACCTTTATAAAGCACTGTGTATCATAAGCGATTGCCATTTTTTTCCCATAAAATGTTTATTTCCACCTATTTTTCCATCCTTAGTTACATCTCGTTGGTGCTGACCTCCCGCAGGCACTTCCTGTCTACATGCACTCCAGCGATGACTGCTGGGTGGGTTTCCTGAATGTGACAACAGCGGACCGTGTCTGTGTAACGTGTGCTGAAATAAGACACTCGTAACCTCCACTAAAGCCGGGGTGACAACGCAGGGGGACAATTGAAAGACCGGGACAGAGCGTCGTCACCCTGCAACAAGGAATTTGCCTGCACGACGACCTTCTTGGCAGGATCAACGGGGATTATTTTTAATGAAAGCTGCAGATTTATGAAGATATTAAAAGTAATGGATTTTACATCTACTGTGAGCTGAATGTTATGGACAAAATTTCGGTTGAGCGGCTTGACTTTTTGGGGGTGTTTCAACAGAACGGACCTTCCATTGTTGACTATTTTCATGGGAGGTCCCCTTTAAGTGGTGCACCAAACTCCCTTGCAACAAAGCACGGGGAAAAAAAAAAAAAAAGATTTCTTTTGTTATTACAAAGTAACTTTCTTTGTCCTTTTCTGTGCGGGAACTCGGCAGTGTGAACGAGCGTCCTCCCTTCGAAGGGGCTACGCGCGTCCTATCTGTGCTGAGCTTAAGCTTGAAGCTGAACGTTTCAAAAAGTGCTTTTCAAATCTGAAGCCTTTGTTAAAATATTCCTTCCCCTGGTGATCCTGCCAGGAAGACCCCTTTTCAGACACTTCCTGTTATAGGGGGACAACAGCCCTGTCTCTGTCTCCCAACTGTGCCGCCCCCGCATTGTCACCCCGTTACACGTACTTCTAATGGCGACACATGGCCTGTGTAGTCATGACCAGGGCCTGTCTTTAACGAGGGGCAAAAAGGGCAGTTGCCCTGGGGCCCATTCATTGTTGTGGTGCCCAAAGCAGCTGCCCTTTGAGCCTGCGAAAGATAGACGCGGCACCGTTCTGTTTACTGTGCGATCGTCGTCGCCTAGTGTTGGTCCGCCCCTGCCGTACACTGCGTAGTGTGTGTTATTGCCACTGCACTCCGCCATTTTTTCCCCCCCAATGGCAAGAAAGTGTCCTGGGTGCATCTGCCTGCTCTTGCTGCACCCACAGAAGGGAGAATCTTCTTACAGGTGACTGAAAACTACAGCGCAGATTGGGAGACGGAGGTCACTGCTGGGCCCGGAGGATTATCTCCCATCTGGAATTAGTTTGCTGGAGCTCCAGTAAACAGCCCCCCGCCCCTGACAGTGTGCCCTGCAATCCTCTACGCCTGCACTGTAACCCCTTCATAGCAGGCACGTTACAATGTTACTAATGGGAATTATCCTGGAAACGGCGCTGCAGCAATTTTTAAACATAAATTTAGACCCGTCCACACTAGTCTCATCCTACGATCTGTTTTACCATTAGGGCTACAACAACTAATCGACTAAATCGATAATAATCGATGATGAGTATAGTTGGCAACTATTATCATCGATTAGTTGGTTGGGGAAGGGGAGCGAGAGAGACAGAGCGGGAGAGAGAGAGAGACACAGAGACAGTGCGGGAGAGAGAGAGACAGAGACAGAGCGGGAGACAGAGCTGGAGAGGGAGACAGAGCTGGAGAGGGAGACAGAGCGGGAGAGGGAGAGAGAGACAGAGCGGGAGAGGGAGAGAGAGACAGAGCGGGAGAGAGAGAGAGAGACAGAGAGGGAGAGAGAGAGAGACAGAGAGAGAGAGAGAGAGAGAGAGAGAGACAGAGAGAGAGAGAGACAGAGAGAGAGAGAGACAGAGAGAGAGAGAGAGAGAGACAGAGAGGGAGACAGAGCGAGGGAGAGGGAGACAGAGAGAGGGAGAGGGAGACAGAGAGAGGGAGAGGGAGACAGAGAGAGGGAGAGGGAGACAGAGAGAGGGAGAGGGAGACAGAGAGAGGGAGAGGGAGACAGAGAGAGGGAGACAGAGAGAGGGAGAGAGCGAGATAATTTTTTAATACAACCAATCGATTAGTTGAAAAAATAATCGGGCAACTAATCTTGTGTTGTTACAACGGGAGGAACCATTATCCTTTTTCGTTTATTAAAATCTCAAAGTGACATCATTTGCATATAAAGTGATATAATTAGCATATTTCCCAAGGCTAAAGAACCCCCTCCTCTCCTGTGCTATGAAAACGAGGAGAGGGGGAGGTTATTGTAGACTTGTCCTAGGGTCGCCCTAGGACAGGAAGTGTACTACTGGCAGGATCTCCAGCACAAAGCCTAAGAAAGAAAACAAATGCAGCCACCTTCTTCAAGGACCGGTACGCTGCAATATATGACATTTTTTTCAATGACTCCTTTATATTAGCCGCATGTGCTTGGCTTGAATTCAAGAGAACCTGTCACGGCGACTGATCGCAGCTTAGCATCCGATCCAATGTGTGAAGGTATGAGCGCTCACTTCACAGTAGCGGCATGAGTTCCAGAGCTGCCATAACTCTGTGCTGGCTGGGCATCAGCACCGCCTCTGGTAAGTGGACAGTGACAGCTACCAGCGGCGGGAGCCTGTCCCTTTAAGACGGAGTCGCAGTGGTCAGGGGTCACAGGAACAATCTGACCGGTTATTTTCAGCCAGGCCGGGAGTGAAAAGATTATTTAGCCGGGAATGTTCTAAAGTCACGCTCCTGGATTTGCCGTAATGCACCGAGCAGCTGGTCTACCTAGAGCAAGTGTGGGGTCAAGTGTGGCGTGTACAAATGTGCGCCGGCACAATGGCTCCGGAACCGGCAACAGTTTCAAAGAATTTCCAGGGCCGGGACGCCTGCCGAGGCTTTTGTACCTGTGACGGTCACTCCCTATACTTTCCAATGTCATTTTAATGTAATTGCTGAATCCAACAATGACACTGACAGTGTGTGGCCAGTGCGTTCAATTAAAGACCGGTCACTTCTGCTCTCTCTCCTTGTGCAGGGTGACTGGTCTTGTCTCCGCCCCCTCCTGTAATGAAGACCGGTCACTGCTGCTCTCTCTCCTTTTGCAGGGTGACTGGTCTTGTCTCCGCCCCCTCCTGTACATTGATATCACTTTAAAAAAAGAAAAATAATGCAGCCTCCACATCTCAGGACTGGTGAGCTGCAATATATTTTTGTTCTTGGGTTTAGATGTTCTGTAACACAACTATATGTATCAAACCAACAATCAACTGGAAAAAATATATAACCGGATCAATAAACCCATTCGGACATTATCTGTATTTGATCAGTTAAGGTGGCCATACACTTTACAACTATCTAAAGGTCTTGCGATGGTTGTAAAGTAATTTTAAAAAACGTACGATCTGCCCATCTTGGACAGGCAGATCGTACTTGCGATCATCGCAAGCCCGCCCCCCTGAGGGGCGGGCTTGCGATAACCGCAATGCTGAACGGGCAGTGTGCGCGTGCGGCATTGATTTTACGATCAAGCTAAAAACCAGCCGAAAATCGTACGATTCTCGGCTGGTTTTCTAGCATGCTCCTTAGACAAAAGACGTGCGACAGTACAGTAAAAACGGTCGCACGCCTTCCATACACTTTGCGATTATCGTACGATCGCTGGGATTTCCCGCGATGATCGTGCGATAATCGCACAGTGTATGGGCACCTTTAGAGACGGTGATGACTGAGAGAACCTTGAACCGTGATTGGCTGAATGGAAGATCCTTTTATAGAATCTATCAATTTAAAAGAAAACAATACTTATAAAAGTATCCGGAGAAAAATGGAAACGCGTTTTCCCGGCATCAGAGGACTCAATGCAAAGCGACCATATTCACTTCCAAGGAGAGTTTGTGGTCTGTGACATTTATGAAAAGCATCAATCAATAAAAAGTCTAAAACTTCTTAAAAAACAAACAAACAAAAAACAGCCGCCGTGTTGTCCCGGACATCCTCTTCTTATCTTGAGACAGACAAAAGCATCCCTCCACGGTGACAATGTCAGTTCCCCGAAGGGATCATATTCTGCACAGACAATGCGAGGTTGCTTCGCGTTCTTCCATCTTTTACTGCCCGCCGATGTCACTTCCTGTCTGGCTCGCCTATTCTCAGCCACGGGGGGGCTTAAAATTTAGCCCCTTTGCTGAGAACTAACAAAACAGGAAACAGCTAAATAAGGTGAAGGTTCACAAAGGACGCCGTCGCAGCTCGCGTAGTCCTAAAACAATATGCGGGCAGAGAAGCCGTCAGGTCTCCCCAACTTACTTGAAGCAACTTGATTTTCCCCCCAATTTTGGTGATTTGTATTTATTTTGTTACAAGCGCGGTGAAAACATCGGCGACTTTATAAGTCAGTTTCATTGTCTACGGAGAGCCAGACCTTTCGGAAAGCCTATCCAAGCCCAAGAACAAAAATGGAACATATTGCAGCTTTCCGGTTCTTACATGTGCTGGCTGCATTCGTTTTCTTTCCTTTATTTTAACCCCTTGACTCTGCCAGTAACCCGCGTCCCATCCTGGGGTCCAATGCCCACTCGCTGCACTGTATCTATTGTGGAGCAGGTTGTCACCCTAGGCTGCTCCCCTGAATTGGACTACAAACACACAGGGGCGTCCCAAGGCCGGGTGTCACCCGGTCTCCAGATCGGGTGACACCCCGCCGTGGTGTCATCGAGCATGCGCGGCCATCTGATAGACCCCTGCCGGTGGCCAACTTCATGTGATGGACGCCGGCAGAGAGAGGAGGGGACGTTCACCCGGCGGGATGAGGTATGCCACCAGGTCCCCTCCTCCCTCCTGGCACTGCTGGGCTCTCGGTCCATGATCGAGTGCTCGACTTTTTAGAGGGGGTGACACCAAAATGACTGACAGTCATCACCCCTGCAATGGTGTCACGTGGGTGCGGGCCGCACCCTCCTTGTGATGCCACTGCAATTACATCCTCTTTCTCGCTTGAAGGGTATTTCCACTTTTGCAGTCAAATTGCGATTAGGGATGAGCTCATATATTGTCATACAGGACAAATGTCTATTAAAAGGAAGTTCCATCAAAGTTCCAGATGCCCCTCCCCTATAGTCAGGTGTCTTACCAGGCAGGGTGTCACCCCGTGCGGCCGACGGGTGTCACCTGGCGCAGGTGTCATTACATTAAGTGTGACGTCACTACGCACATGCGTAAGGATGTCACGTGCACTTCACTGCCAGAGGCCATGTTGGAGGGGAGGGGACGTTTACGAGAGAGGAGGGGACCTGGCGGCATACCTTATCCCAGGGGTGTAACCACAGATCATGGGATCCCATAGCAAAATTTTGATGGGGTCCCCCAGCAACCTCCCTACCATCAATGATAATAAAGTCAGGTAGCAGGAGAGCTGTACATCTGACGTCAGCTCTTCTTGATTAATAATGTCAGTGTCAGGAGCAACTTCTGCAACTCTTATTGGGGGCCCCCTTACGCCCCCAATGGCAGCCGCATGGGCCGCTATGGCTATTGTTAGGCCACTGCCATATCCAACTGGGCCCCCTCCTCTCTAGGGCAGCTGTCAGGCTCCCAGTTCATGACCAAGTGCCCAACATTTCAGAGGGTGGCACCAAAATCACTGCCAGTCATATTGGTGTCACCCCCTCTGATGGTGTCACTCGGTGCGGGTCAAACCCCCCTGCATCCCCCTTGTGACCTCACTGCCCATAATTAATGAAAAAATTAACTTCAGATGTTGAATTATAAATTGTAACCACTGTGCACATCACAATCAGAAGCAGCTGCACCCCTAACCTGATACTATGTACATTTCCTGTCAATGATGATCACATTTGTACTTGTTCTGTACAGACTAACTCTAGAAAATGTGTTTTTTCTTTCACTTTTGTCAGGTTTTTATTTCTGTCTGTGGCCCCAATGGGGAAATTATCCATCACTTCCTCTACCTGTGACACCTGTATAAGAAGTGAGGGTGTGGCTGACAATGGGTGTCATTCAACCAGGAAGACCGAGGACATCTAGTGGCAAAATAGAAGTACTGCTGGGGGACAGAGCTCCGGATTGAAAGTGAGTATTGCAGCCTGAGCTCCTTTTTTTTTTAACTTTGTACACTGCCTAGGGCACATGTGTCGAACTCAAGGCCCAGGGGCCGAATCCGGCCCACCAGGCCATTTCCTAGACT